ACATTTGAAGCATTGAAGATAACTTCTATTTTTGTACTAATATTATTTTGCATTGACTTTTTAAAGCTATTTTTTATAGAAACAAATACATTAGAATTTTGTTTATAATAATGTATTATAAAAAATAGAAACAAATGATTAACTTTACCAAATAGCTTTTTATTCAAGAAAAGTTTTTGTAGCTAAGATCAACTATAAGATTCATGACAAAGAACTTCTTGTAATTATGGATTTGTTTTAAGAATGGTACCATTATCTAAAAGGTGCTTCTAATCTAGTGACTATTTATACTAACTATAAGAATCTTGAATACTTTATGTCAGCATATGTTTTAAATTGTTGCCAAGCTTGTTGAAATATATCTTTGTGAATATTTGATTTTAAGATGACTTATCAACAGGGAAAATAATAAGGTTTGTTAGACGTTCTTTTTAGACATCAAAGAATGATTCTCTTAAAATCAGAATATTTTCATCTTCGAGTAATAAAATCAATATTGATTTTTGATTCAAACTTTGTCAAACAAATTCAATCAAATATGTCTTTTAATCATCTTATTTATGATATCAAGTTTTCTTCTTTTAAGTCTCATGATCTTTTAAGTTCACATTAAAAAACAACCTACTTTATTTCAAAGGATGCCTATGCATTCTAAAAGAAGAAGCACATTTATGTATTTTTCAAGCATGTGATGATTTTCTAGCAACTGGACATTTTAGATATAACAAGACTTTAAACTTATATCTAAAGATTTTTGGTGGCTACAAATGTGGAAGGCAATGAAAGACTTTGTTTAGTCATGTGACATTTGTTTAAGGTCAAAAACTTCTCGTCATTGATCCTAAGAACTTTTCTAATCATTATTCATTCTAGAACATATATGGTCTTTTGTTTCTATAGATTTTATCATGAATCTTTTAATCTCAGGACTTTATGATTCTATATTCATAATAGTAGATTATTTCACCAAAATAATACATTTTATACTATGCACAAAAGCTATCACAAGTAAAGAAATAGCCAAGCTTTTCTTTGATAATATCTATTGCTATCATAGATTACTTAAGAATATTATATTGAATAAAGAAATTCAATTTGTATGAAGATTTTAGAAAATAATTTTTAAGATTCTAAAAGTTGATATAAAACTATTTTTGGCTTTCTATCTCCAAACTAATAGACAAACACAGTATATAAATTAATTTTTGGAGCAATATTTGAGGTATATAATCAATTACTAATAGGATGATTGGACAACTCTTTTGCCATTGGCAGATTTTACTTATAATAATATAGTACATTCTTCTACATAATAAACATCTTTCTTTATTAATTATAGTTATCATCTATAACTTGATGCTTTTGACTTTCTAAAAGTTGATAATCTTGCAGCAAAAGATAGCAAATTATTTATTTGAGCTACATACAATAATGAATGTATGACTAAAAGAGATTCAAGAACAATAAAATGACAATACATATGCTAATTACAAAAAACAACCTCTTTCTACTTTGGTGATTAGATATGATTACTTTGTTGTAATATTAAAACTATTCACCTTTGTGACAAGTTGGATTATCATAGACTTGGACTATTTCTTATTTGTGAACAAATTAATCTAGTTGCTTATCAATTATATCTATTGGAGTCTATGAAAATTCATCTCGTATTTCACATGTCTCTTTTAGAGCCATATAAGATATTAAATATCTTGAAAAAAAGACAAATACCATCGCCTCTAATAGAAGTAGATAATATTAAGAATTTAAGATAGAAGAAGTTTTAGACTCAAGGCCTTATTGACATAGGTTAGAATATCTTATTCATTGGTATAGATACAATATTAACAAACATACATATGAGCTAGTAAAAAATCTTACAAATGTAGCAAAAAAGATCAAAGCTTTTGATTAATAACATCCATCAAAATCAAGATGAAGGATAGCAAATCTTTACTATAAAAGAAAAACAATTTAGAAAAGATTATATACTATCTTTTATCCTTGTTTTTAATTTTTATATAATTATAGCATTAAAGAGATAGAGAATCAAAAGTCAACAAATTCAATTTGAGAGCCATTATTTGCTGACTTACTAGATGAGACATTATAATTATCACAACCTTCAAAATGACATAATAGAGATAAAGATCTTTAAGAACAACATATTCTTCTTTGAATAGATGGCAAGATACAACGTATTTGGTACCACAACCTAAAAAGAAACTCTTGATGTTTGGTGATTTTATTGGAGGTAGGAACAATTCTTGATGGTATTATAAACATTTTATTTGAAGGAAGTTACGAAGGTTTGAACAATGATCAAATCTCAAGGTGGTCTTTCCACCTTAGAATGAGAAATTAATAATGGCTGAGAGGATATATTAAGTATATTTGAGCCTTTGTATGCTCTTGTCAGTCATATCAACGTAACAAAGCATACAACATAGTATCTTTTAGACAATTGCAATCAATTTCACTACCTATAGTATGCTAAGAGCAAGTGACTATGGATCTCATTACATATTTGCCAGAGATGGTTCATAAACATATTGCGGTTGTCGTCTTTGTGGATCAACTCTTGAAACAACTTCATTTGGTTGAGATGCGCTCAGATATTGATGCCCCAATGCTTGCACAAGTCTTCTTTGATACAATCTTTTGACACCATGGAATACCTCATGTCATCATTTTAGATTGAGATTCATGCTTCACGAATAGTTTTTGGCAAGCCTTGTTCAAGCTACTAGGCATACGACTTGCCATGTCTAAAGCCTTCTATTTTCAAATATTTGGACAAATAGAATATATAAATTGAATCATGAAAGATATGCTATGAATATTTATAGCAGTTAATTGTAATGATTGGAATGAATACTTGACATCTTTGAAATTTGCTTATAATGGTAGTATTCAAGCAAGTACCAAACATTCACCATTTTTTTTTTAATATTGATCAGCATCTAATTATACTAGCAACTTTTTATCATTCCATTTATACTAACAACCCACAATGGAAGAATTTATACAATGGCTTACAAGAGGCATGGTATTGCCTCTTTATTGCACAGAATTGACAAAAGCAGTATGCAGATAACTACTGGCAATACAAGACTTTTCAAAAGGATGATCAAGTGTTACTCTCTAACGCCAACTTGCTACTTGCTACATCAATCCAAAATCGTAAACTAACACCTCAATGGCTTTGATCTTTTCACATTTTTGCAGTAATATCTGCTGTCGCATATTGCCTCAAGCTTTCGCTTTATATTTGGGTCTATCCAGTTTTCTATGTTTTGTAAGTGAACCAAGCCAAAGTACTTTCCGGATCGATACCAACCACCACCACCATTAGTTGTGGTTGATGACCAAAAATAATATGAAGTAGAGAGTATTTTGGAGCATTGCTACCTTTGTCACGGTAGTAGACGTCGACAACTTTAGTACAAAGTTCTTGCAAAGGTTATTCCATTCACGATGCAATCTAGAAACCTGCACAAAATCCCACCTATTGCTAAGAGACAATTTGGAGATACCATCGAGAGTGAAACGAAGATATTTTATATTAATGGAAAAAAATTAATTATAACAGGGTATAGATAAGATAATTATATAGATAATTAGAACCATGGAAGTTTCTAGAATTGAGGTTACATTAATAGACCAAGTAGGAACCATCATGGAATATTTTAGAAAAGATTTAGGGCAGTTATTTAGATGGAGCCCACTAACTAAGAATATTCTAGAAAGTCTAGGGTAGTAGGACAAGGTATAATTAGGACTAGCCAAGGCCTTTAGGGGCATCTAAACAAGTATGGCTTTGGATCCTTTGTCTTAATGAAGTTTAGTTCTCCATCTTTCAATTCAGATTTGTTTTGTTATGTTTCTATTTGCTCGGTTTTGCCTTTCAAGTCCTATTCTATTTAGCTCCATTTAGTTTTGTTTTGGTTTGTTTTGTCCTATTTTGTGATGAGGCTTTAAGTTGCTGTGGATTAAAAGGATCTTGGATTTTTGAGATATTCTAGTCTTGTTTCAATACTTGTCATAAATATCTTATATTTAAGATATGCATATGAATTTAAATAAATTAAATATTTGTGTTAAATATCACTTTATCAAATAAAGAAATATTGTAGATCTTATTCTTGCATCTTATATTTATGATTGAAATTATTGCTAAATAAATAAATAAATATTCTCATATTATTATATAAAAATAAATAAATAAAAACTACACATACGTACATACATTCATTATTATATTAATTTGGATAAATTACAAATTTGATTGTACTGATAATTTGAAATCAAATTCTATTGTTTGCAATATTAACCTTGTATTATCTTTAATTCTCATGATTAATTAGATACTTCCACATACAGTTCCAGCTATAAATAAATAAAAACAACCATACAATTTATTTGACATTGGAATCCAAAAAGATATCACAAGAAAAATTGTATCTCAAGTATTTGTTCACAAAAAAAAATTTGACTCAAAAAAAGATCTAACAGAGTTAAAAACAACAATTAACAAACTTCCTAACTATTATCTTGATTCGATTAAAATATGATGATTCAAATTATTTTCCTTCATCACCAAAATAGTAACAACCCTCCAACAAGTTGGACTATCAGTTTTAGTATCCCAAACAATATTGTTTGCACAGCAGTTTTGCACAATGTGAAGTTGAGCTGCAGAATGGATGTTGCTTCAGGTAGTGATGTCAGACACTGAGAAGTGGTGTCGATCCTGATGATTTTGTCACCTCGAGATCGGCGAACCCATTGCAGGATTTGACGTTGCGGCACTGCCATGTCTCTTTCCCCCGTGAGTAAGTTATGCGTATGATGTGTACATAATCCATGCTCACACTCCTTTGCGAGATTTGAAATTTGATTTATTTACCAGCCTTGTCACGTTTTAACTTTCCATGTACTTTTTCTGTCCGACCGACGCCGTCTTCAATTATGATGGCAAAGCGTGTTGTATTTTAAGTTGCTGCCAGCCACAGATCCTGTGACTGATCAGATTCAGAGGTATTCATCGTTGCCGGCGGATACCATCCCCTAGCTTGCATTCATGGTGGTCGCAAGGCACTTGGTGCGAGGTTACTTGATTCTCGGGTTGATTATTTCTATCGTGAGCCCATCCTAATCTACTTTCTCTTGCAGTCTAGAATCTGATCTGATTGAGTTTGGCGCTCGGTAAATAAGACGGTTCTCTTGTTCTGAAAATTTTGTATACTTTGTTGAGTGCAGGTTCACGCCCTTAGCCTGTTGCCAGGCTGCTTCACAAATGACGCCCATCCGAGGGCATGTGTTCCTGGAGGAGTGGTAGCTCTTCAGTCAGAGTGGTCTCTCCTTGATGCTACCGAAGCAGGCGTTGCAGTCATGGTGGTCGCAAGGCTCTTGGTTCGGGGTTACTTAGTACTCGGGTTGATGATTTTAATCGTAAGTCGATCCTATTCTGTTTTTCTCCTGCAGTGAAGGACCTGCGGACGAGTTTTGGGTCTGTAAATGAAGTGGTTCTCTTGTTGAGAACTCTTGTATGCTTTGTTGCGTGCAGGTTCATCACCAAAGCCTGTTGCCAGGCTGCTTCACAAATGACGCCCATCCGAGGGCATGTGTTCCTGGAGGAGTGGTAGCTCTTCAGCCAGAGAGGTCTCTCTTTGATGCTTCCAAAGTGCGCGCTGTGAGCCTCGGAGGATGGCTTGTCATTGAGAAATGGATGAAGACTTCGTTGTTTGATGGCATACCAGATGGCGACCTTCTTGTGAGGATTGAAAACTCGTGGATCTGTAGCGTTTGTTTAAAGAATGACACTCTCTGTTAATTTGAAGAGTGTCGGAAGGTTCTAAACATTCTACAATGTTTCTATGGTCGAGAATTCTCTCGAAGTCTGCTCCAGTAGCTTGTTTTGTGAGAATTCTTCACATGAATGAGGCAATGACGGGGAGGGATTATAAAATTAGAGTCACCAGATCATCATGACATTTTGTGCGTCGAGTAGCTGTGTTTCCATGCTACAACTAGAATTTAGGACCTTGGGCAAGTATTCTATGATAGCATATATTGAGTTACATTTTAATAGATTTTCTAATGCTAGATGAACATTGTGATGACGATCTAGGATGGAGCGCAAATTTCACTCCAGTCCATTTCCAGAGGGACTTACCTATCAGCAGAAAGAGGTGGAGGAGATCGAATGGTCGTCAATAGGACTGCTATATCTACGTGGGAAACATTCAAGGTCGTAGAAACTAATCCTTGCCCCTCGTTCGTTTCAATCGTGGCCAAGTTTGCGGTCAAAACTTCGGTTCCGAATCTACACCTACTGGAAACTTGAGTGGAGGGTGACCTGTCTTCAGAACCATCTCTCTTTATGTGCTATTTCCTTGTGATCACCTGCGGCGTGGCCCTACTTGATAAACAGGTATGGCGAGTATCTGCTGGAGTATATCAGTTGCGAGTCTTCAACAAAATGTTTGTGTCAGCAATGAACGGGGGTGGAGGAGCCGTACTTGCATCTGCAGCAAGTCCAGCTCAATGGGAGTCATTTAAGATACACCGCAATCCATCACAGTCGTCTATGGTTCACATTCAAGCTTATAACGGCATGTATCTTCAGGTTTGCCTACATTCGTCAAAGTTCAGCGCAATCTTAATTACATGCTGTAGACAGCTACAAATTGTTTCAGAGTTTGGTGTGTTCGAGTTGTCGATGTATACTTAAATTCTTTTAGCTCATTGAAACTGTTCTAGTTTAACTACTTTGGAAATTTTGCAAGGGTTGTAATGGACACCGAAAAAGTGCGTGCGTACTCCAGGTGATTTGGTTTTCGTCACTTTGCAGGCCAGAGATAGAAACCTGCTGACTGCGGACTTGAAAGATGTCCCAGGATGGAATAAGAACGATGCTACGTTTATTATGGTAGTTAACACCCCTCTAGGAGGCGAGTATCAGCTCGCTAATGGATGGGGTGCTGAAGCGGCAGTGAATGTTTTTCAAGTAAGTAAGAATTTTCTCTTTCATGCTCGAGGCATCTGCCGTTTCTAGGGTGTTTTCCATGAGTTCATGTCAAAGCAGTTCTTGCATTGTTTCTGGACCTCAAGAGCACTGATCAAGACATGCACTCATTCCAGCAAAATTTTCACTCCATGTTAAGACGTCTTACAAGGGAAGGAAAATTAATTGGCATTAGTAATTTTGCAGAAACATAGGGAGTCTTTCGTTCAAGAGAGTGACTTTAGGTTCCTCGCTTCGAAAGGAATAAATGCAGTACGCATCCCAGTTGGATATTGGATAGCATCAGACCCAAACCCTCCAGCGCCGTATGTCTCAGGGTCCCTTCAGGCCCTGGACAACGGATTTCAATGGGCCAAGTATGAGCAAGCAGCTTTTGGTTTCATACTTCAGGATGTCGGTGTTTCTTCTCCTTGCATCTGAGTGACATAATCTTCTATAAGTTTAGTACCAGATTGACTTGAAAGTAGCACTGTGTACATCCTGCTTTGCTTTATAAGCCATGACGAAGCTTGCCTGTCTGAATTCTCTTATAAGTTGCGTGGACTTGCAGTAATCATGGCATAAAGATTATCATTGACCTACACGCCGCCCCAGGCTCCCAGAATGGACAGGAGCACAGCTCTTCACGTGATGGTATTGCGGAGTGGGCTGTACAAGTAGGAATAGACTACATTGGCGAGTCCATCAAGACTATTGACTTCCTAGCAAGCAGGTGATTGAGTCACTGATCTACTTTTCATGAACTCGAGTGACATTGAATAACTTAGATAATCAGTTCACTAATTTCCCTACTAGCACGACAGTTTAGGAGCCCTAAGAAAGGAACCTTCCATTCCTAATCCTTCCCAAACCTTATTTGTCGTACGCTTTAGAAAACCATATTCCCCTACCTTTTCGGTAGAGGAATGGTTGTCTTGTTGTTGCCTTTTTTGTTGAGTTCTAAAAGAGTTTGATTCCTTACATCATCTTCTCGTGTTTAAAGGTATGGCAACAACCAAGCGCTATTGGGGATCGAGCTTCTGAATGAGCCGGGTGCAGCTGTAGTCCCCTTGGATGTCCTAAAGGATTACTACGCAAGGGGATATAGTACAGTGCGAAAGTACACATCTTCCGCCTACGTTATCATGTGCCAGCGGATAGGAGGAGATTTTACAGAGCTTGCGAACGTCTTACCTGCAGACAAAGTCGTCCTTGATGTTCATTTCTACAACCTTTTCAATCATGAACTCTTCGATAAAAAAACTCCTGAGTGGAATATTGATTTCGTGTATAATGATCGCCTCAGTCTGGTAAAGAGACTCAACACTGCTGGAAATGCTCTAATCTTCGTGGGTGAGTACAATCCCATGAGCTTGAACTCCAGTGCCAATATTTGAAATTTCAACTTATGGCATTTTCTTTTGCATTTTCAAAAACAATCTACCTCTTAGCATATAAAATTCGAGGAGTTGAACCATGTAGTCTTTATAAACTTTAGAAACCGTTTTTACTTAGATTGGTGTCGTAATTAATCTTTGTCTGACCAACAGGTGAGTGGACGAATGAGTGGATGGTTGAGAATGCGTCTCAATCAGATTACCTGAGGTTTGGGGCTGCTCAACTTCAAGTCTTCGGCCAAGCCACATTTGGTTGGGCTTATTGGTCTTACCAACACCAGCTCTATCGTTGGTCATTCAAGCAATCTGTGCAACAAGGCTACCTAAATGCCCCCACGAGTGGATGGTAGAAGGAGAACCGTATCAAAATCCAAATGAATACGCATAACGGAAATTTCTTAATCTTTTTTTAACATCTTGCTCACTTAAGCAAAGATTTGTCGGTCAGCTAAGTTTTTGGACTCACCTTGCTGAACCATGCCAAGAGAAAGTGGCAATTTTCTCGCAAAGCTTTAAAGTACAGCTGTACGCTATCTTCACTTTTGACCTGATGTTTTCCAGGCTATATAGGTTCTCTGAACAGCACACCGCGACCTTCTCTCTTAAAATGTCTGTCTTCTTGTGCTTGGAGCCTGGCAATTGAACTGCCATTTGCAGCCGCCTCTGCACTACATGTCGAGGCTGAAGATTATAAACATATTTCTTTAAACCGGTTATCGTCGCTCGGTCAGAGGGCGAGAAATCAGTGATTTTATCGTAATCAATTTGTTAGAAGCCGGACTTTAACCTGTAAGTTATGAGGAAAGTTATGTCATGTGTAGTTGCTCAAGTCATTGATACATTATATCAAACATTATTATAATATATTCATTGGAGTAATTACAAGCAGATGCATCAAGTGGTTCGCAGTCCTTGAACGTTGGATCCAGCAACTTATGTATGACTGTGTGCAATTAAAGTGCTTGGACTGTCGTTCCGGCTGAAAGACGACTTGCAACCTCGCTCGTCAGTTTCATATATTTTGCGACCAATAAGGTGTGTTGTCCCGTACTCTAAAAACTGGATGGTGGTAGCTGCGAATTGTCAGGTCGATCGGAAGCTGTTGAAGGATCTGTAAGGAGCACTGACCAGGACACACGCTGCAATCGAGGATTGGATGTGGTTAGTACCCATTTCATCCTGCGCTTACCCATTGTTAGATAATTGGAAATTCTAGTACAAGTCAGAGCGCCTCTATCACACACAAAACGGCTTTGGTCTGAATGAAGGTTTCTCGGAACTAGCACATGTGTGTAGCAAGTTGGAGGTTTCGAAAGGAGAGTTATTGATAATCGTTCGGTTGAAGCTGTTGTCACGGCAACTCAGAGAACAGTCAGCAGCACAAACGAGACATGGAGCTCACTTCTGAGCGTTTTGACGTAACCTTGTCGTGACTCAGAGTAGTGGAGAGTGGCTGCTCCCCAATCTGTTGGGAAGGACTTTACACGTGACTTTGCAATGAATTTGTGACTCATGGCCAAGTCTGAACAAACTACGAGACTATTTTCTGCAACCCTGTTCTCGATTTTGCCGATTGCTGCAGCTGACGAGAGTCCGATCTCTATTGGAAGTCCCAGCTCTGGCCCCGCCGAGCAACTGTCATGATCTCCACCACCGCGTGCTCCACCGACGACTCCAGATCAGTGCTCCCCATGATGCTGACTTTCTTGCTTTTCCTGGAAGAAGACGAGGTTGTTCCCAGCGCACAGTGCTGTACTGGCTCGTAGTACGCCTTGACTGCAAGCAATTGTTTTACCCCGACTCCATTGTCAACCACACTGGGGGAATCTCATGCCTGCCCTTTGCCAATTCACTACTGACCTGAGCTATGACTGTGCTGCCTTCATCTGGGTAGGAGGTCCAGTGATGATTCTGATAAGAGCACTATCCTCTCACACTATCCCTTTCGTTTCTTTTTAACTTGCTTTGAAAAATGAGATCAAGTGTAGAATTTACATGAAAAGCTGTTCGCCTTTTGTGTCCTTAGATGGGCTGACACAAGATTGATTATAAAATGGGCGCAGAGGAGAGGATTTATTCGTACAGGAAGAATGTGATTGGATTTGTAGTTATGGTCAGCTTCGTTATAGCTTGCATTATTTGTTGGTATCGCTATACCTATCCATAAAAAGCTCAGGAAAAGAAGACCTTCACCTCTTGTTCTGAAGACAGGGTTCCAGGGCGAGGAACCTGGCAGCGATTACTGAGACCTCAAGTTGGATGGAATACCAGCACACTCACACAGCAATTTAATCAACATTTTCGTGGACTCAGCTCATTTAACTTTCCGATCCATGTACTGCGAAGACACCCCCCCCCCCCCCGTAAAGATCACCGAAGCGTGGGATGAGCGCTGCATTGTGCTTGTCTAGTTCACAATGCAGCTCATGAAGAAAACAGTACAATTGTAAGAATCTGACTTCGCATTCAGTTGATTATAGCATTCAAGAAGCTGGTCTAAGAACATTCAATGCTCAAGAATGGGAGGCCTTCGAGAGTTTCTTTAGAGGCATACTCTGAAACGCAGGAGACAGTTACTGCAGAGATCAAGTGATGCAGATTTGACGCGTTGGGAAGTATCGTTTTCTGTTCTTTCAAGCACAATGCTTTCACTGTGGCTGGCCTACAGCACGGTATGTTTGTGAGATTATCATTTTACCAGGAGGTATGTTTGTTCCAAGGCCAGATGAATATTTTCCAATTTTTACTCAAGAAATTAAGTCAGGGGGAGTGTAAAAAATCCTTCCTATCAATATTAAGTAGTTGTTCTTCTAATCGACATCAATGGATATGGTTATTATTTGGATCATTATGCTTTTTCAATGTGATTTGATCCAACTTCATGATTTTATATGGTTTGTTGACTTTGGAATTTTATTGAGATTTTTTTTACAATTTATTATTAAATTAACACATTTAAAGAGAACTTACATAGCAATAAGAACTTTTAACTTGTCTTGTATATTACATTCTACCAAATGGTCATTACTTAAAGCTCTACCTTATATGTTAGTATTGCAAGTTAAATAGAAAAATATATATATATATATATATATATTACAATAAATTTATTTTGTGCATGTAAAACTTAATATAATTAAAGAAAAATAAAAAATATATGCATTCATAAAACTTGAAAAAAATAGTAGTTTTTACAAAATTAATAAATTACGAATTAAAAAAGTAGTTGCTCTAAAAAGATTTTGTGCACAAAGAAACAGTAGATTACATTTCATGAAAATACACCCACACACACACACACACACACATATATATATATATATATATATATTTAGTTGCAAATATAATATCAAAAATCTAAAGTAACACATTATAAATTTGTACATTATAAACTATGAAGACTAAAGTAATTATCAATCACTATTAAATTATAATATAATATCAAAAATTTCTTGAATGCATTTTAAATTTGAGGCTAAAATAAAAATTATGAATACTAATGATACACTAAATATTTTAATTTTATTACTATTTTAAAAACTAAACAAATTTTACTGAGAATCTAACAATAAAAATAAAATAAAATAATATAAAATTGAAAATTTCTTAATTATTATTTTTTTACTATTTTAAACTTAAAAATACCGGCCTAGAATTAAGTTAATGATTTTAAATAAGTTTTTATTATTTTTTCTATTTCAATAAATTTTAGAAACAATATCATTAATTTTAATAGAAGTAATAAGATAACCTTAATTAACTTAAATATAGTGATGAATAAAAATACTTAATATTTTAATAATATTTTATTCTCAAAATTAAAAATTAATATTTTATTACTTTGAAAGATTAATAAGCCAACTAATATCAATAATATATTTTTATTTATTTATTTATCTAATTTTATTTTAAAATAATGTTTTAATTAAAACTATTATTTACAAGTACAAGAACCTAAATTCTTAGAAAACTATTATAATTAAAGAAATAAAAAGATGCTCAGAAAAAATAATTCAAAAATAATCCTTAACCTAAATCCTTTTGTTTCTCTTAACTTGTTACAAATAGCAATTGAAGTTCCTTGCAAGCTAGTTGATTAGTCAACTATTCACCTTAGGCTTCAAAATTTGATGTATTGACATTGTTTTAATATGATAGTGTTCTAAAAATACCAAATTGGAATGCAACAATCCATTTGTGGTGTTTGAACATCTAAAATCAAGTCCATGTTTTAAAATTGTAAAATGAATGACAGAATTTGTATTAATTTTTTTGTCAAATAAATAAAGCTTTGTTCTTTGATGTGATTATCTTAGTAGGATTCAGTTTGAAGACTATTTATAATGCGGTACATATGGCTTCTTTAAGAGCTAGCATTATGTGGCAATATTATAGTCATATAGCAAGTGCCAAGCTTTTGGTATATTGATGGCCATTTTCAACTTTGATTTTAAGATTTTGGTTTTTGGCATAAGAAATTTAGAAATTCAGAATTTAGGATTATATCGGTGTATTCAATTCTTTTGAGATATTTATTTTTAAATTGAAACTATATATATTATGAGTTCTACAAATACATCTCAATTAGTAGAATTATTTTAAAAAAAATTGCAATATTATTTAGATTTAAAAATATTAGAATTATAAATTTTATTTGATAATCTAAGTGTTTAAAAGGATTTAGAAGATTTTATGAGTTATAATAGTATTTTAAAGCAAAAAACCATTAAATTTTAAGTCTTAATAAGTTTTAAAAATAATTACCTTGGATGGTTTGGTATACTTCTTATAATAGGGATAATTTGAATAAAGTTAATAAAATCAATATCTTATATAATCTTCTATTTATTTTTATTATTTATTAAAATTTTATGAATTTTAGCTAGTATATAGAAGAAATATAAAAAAAATAACTTTATCACTTTATAATAATCTATTTAAAAAATAAAATTTTATAGTTACTTAAATTTATGTGAGCTCTTAGAATGAGTGCAATTTTAGGCTTTACAATTAATAATTGAGGTTTAGTATTATGGCCTTAAAATTTAAGATGAAGGTTTAAAATTTAGAGTTTATAAATTAGGATTTTAGGATTTAGAATTTAAAATTTAAAATTACATATATGTGCCCAATTTTTGAACTCCTTTATTTTTTTGATTTTTACTTGACTTACACTCCTATTTTTTTTTTTATATAATTTCAATGATATAATAACTTGCTCTACAAATTTCTTAATTTCAAGATATAGAAACTTTAACTTAGACTTTAGGATTTTGATTTTTGTTATGAAAAGATTTTTTTAAAAGTTTTGAAAACACCATTATGTCTATTTATTAGTTGTCTATTTTAATAGAAACTTCTCTAATTCCTAATAGGAATTAATAGGAATTAGAAACTTCTCTAATTCCTTACTTTTTGAAATTGACACTTCATATGGTTGTCACTTTATTCTATTGCTTGTGTAATAAAAATCAATAGATTTTTCACATAAATAAAAGGTACATAGGAATCTCTTCCATGAATTTTATTTATTAGCTTTCCTAATATAATATGACATATTTTAAAGAATCTTTTTATAGATTCTTTTTGATAGTAAAAAAAAAAGCTCTTTATGTACATTCACTGCTTCCATATTAAAAAAATTAAGATTACTACAAAGTTTATGTCCGTCCATATCTTTCTTTGTATAAAAAATATTTTTTACTCTAATGCCTAAATAAAAATAAGTAAATATATACATATTTAAGAAGAAATTGGAATGGTTAATGTCATAGACTAAGAAATTAAAAATTCTTGAACCAAGACTAGCAGTATAAAAAGAGAAGATAAGAGTGAAGAATGCTTCATTCTTGCCTCTATATATACTATCTAACTAGTAGCTATATGGTGACGTTTTATAGAACCTCCAACAAGAGTCCAACTTGCACAACACATGTCTAATTTGCAAGATAAGCTTCACATGTATACCACATATCGAACTTGTACCACAAGTGGACAATATGTGCAATATATGGCCAACTTATGAGCCAAGTTTTTAACCTATCAACTCCATAGACATGTATAAAGACAAAGTTGCATCTATAAAGCTTCTAAGAAACTTTTTCATAAGATGTTATCAAATTTAACTATTATTACTTACTTCTTTTTACTCATATTATGTAATTAATTATTGAAATAAATATGTATGTCTATAATAATAATATTTATAATAATATATAACTAATCATTAAATTCTTTTATATCTATGAACTTAACTTTTGAATTGGTTAGATGATCTATTCTGCCAAATAAATTTGAAAAATCAATAATCAACATTATATAATAAAAAACATCAAGTTGCATGTATTGTAAATTATTGATTTCAAGACTTACTTCTAATTAAATATATGATTCAAATAGTAGTAGAAATTCAACTGAATGCTCATCTATATGATTCTTATTAGAAGAAAGAGAAAAAAAATATCTTTGAGTGTTAGCAAATTATTCTTTAATATTATAAACTTTTACACAAGAACATTTGATTTTAATAAATATCATAATATATTTTTTTTTAAATCCTAATGTTTACCTTTAAAAACTTTAAAAAAAATATTTGGCTGTCCTAAAATTTTATTTTAACCATACTAAATCTTTAAGATAATTTCAGCAACCCTAAAACTCAAATTTAGCCACCCTAAATCTTGGAAGATTATTCAACAATCCTAAAAATTAATTTCAGCCACTCTTAACTTTAAAAATCAATATTAGCAATCTCAAAAGTCATTTTAGCTATCCTAAATCCTAAAATATAATATCTCACTTAAAATCCAAACTTTATAATTTTAGATTCTTTTACAAATTAAGATTATTAGGTTTTGGGATTTAAGATTTTTGAATTTAGGATTGAAAATTATATAAGTGTCTCTGTTTTCTTGGCCTTCTTATTTTTTAATTTTGACTTGATCTACATCCCTTCCTCCTCCTTTTTCTTAACTTTGCTTTCTATAATTCTAATATAATAAATAATTTTTTGAATAAGTCCATAGTTTGCAAGATACAAAAATTTTGACTTGGGTTTTAAGATTTTGACATTAATTATAAAAGGATTTTTAAGAATATTAAAAATACTATTGGATCCATTTGAAGATTTTTCTTTTTATATATGTTATTGAATTATTATAAAAATATACATATTTATAGATACTAAAGACTTAATCATTTTGAATTTTGAATTGACTTTACAAATGGATAGAATTTTATAAGATTTGATTTGACCTACCTCTTATTTTTATAAATTATACAAATTATATATCTTGTAGGTATTACACAATAATAATTTTAGATTATTTTTTAAAAGAATAGAACAAATATTAGGATTAATAATAAATAATACTATGGATATTTATACTATTTTAATAAATAAAGAAAATAAGTATTAATAAATAAAAATAGAAAATCAATAAAATTAGACAAATAATTTTTTTTCATAAAATATAAAGAAGCTTTTTAGATTTAGGTTGAATCTATAGTGTTTCTTAAATAATCAATAGGATTCATATGCAAAAAAAATTATTATAAATATAACTTATAACTTAGTTACTTAGACTCTAAATCTTGTGGTTTTTAGATTATATTTATTTGATTTTTTTGAAATATATATATAGATATATATAAAAATATATATAAAAATATATATTAAAATATATTGAAATATATATATAGATATATATTGAAATATATATATAGATATATATTGAAATATATATATAGATATATATTGAAATATATATATAGATATATATTGAAATATATATATAGATATATATTGAAATATATATA